AGGTTATAGCAGTAAGATATTTAAGTTTCTTATCTCGTGGATTACAAGATATTGAGCTTTCTATTTTTGTAGGATTACAGTTGTAATGAGATTTGTTCCTTAAAAGGCAAGATTTATAACTCTATGAATATTTGGTAATTAGAGTAATCACTATTAATGCAAAATATTGGTTTCCCTCCATGGACGTAGGCACTATTTTTTAAGCATATATGTGTTGTGTGGATCTATTTTCTTCTCTTCTTGATTTCTGTTGTTGCAACTTTTACGTGGTATCCAAGCAAGGCGATCTATCAGTAGCAATCCATTACTTACCGGTGGTTTCTTCATCTATCTTGATTGTGGAGAATTTTTACAAACCAAGACTATTTTTTTTTTCCGAAGTAGTTCACCTACCGCCTACATCTTGATGTTTTGTGGCTTGCATATTGTTGTCCCGTTTTATCTGGCTTACATCGTTTGCATCTTGCATCTTAATATGCGACGTGGTGGTTTGGAAAGTATCATCACAAGGATCTTACTTATCATTGGTAATTCCTTTAAGAGTAATTGAAATAGGCTCCTTTTTTTTCAAACAGCCCCAATACAATCAACGGCTCCAAGAAGTACCCTATTGACCGGTTGTACCCACATTCATAGCACCAAGTTTCGTCAACCAAACTCCCAGGCTTATATCTCAGTTTTGTCACATCTTCATTGATTTCGATAGAGTAGTCATCGGAGATCTCTTCAATAAATCGGAGGAAGGAAACCTTATGTGGTTTGAGTCTTGGTGATGAATCATTAGCCTGAATCTCTTCACCTGTCGTACCTTGGGTTATTCGAAGCCACTAATAATATTTGACTGCAACTTCAGCTATCTTTGGCCTTTGGTTGGTTCAAATTGAGGGATCATCCATCCATTAATATAATTTTTTTTGTACTAATTAAGTAGTCTTCTGGTTCTCTTTATTTCTTCAATAAAATGGTCAATTTAAAAAATAACTCATATTGTTCTTTGAATAGACGCAATTATCTTGTTTAGTCGAAAGTTGTTTCTCATTCTCTATTTGGAAAATCTAAACTTAGATACTCAACTAGGAAAAAAATCATGAATCTTGATTTCAAAACCTCTGGAAAAAATGCTGAGAAATTTTCTTTTGTTGCTAATAATAAGAAATATGAAACAAAAAAACCTCAACATAATGGTGGTGTTTGAGACTCTAACAATTATCGTGATGGGGAAGGGGTCGTAGTAATAAAGGGCATCTTAAATGTGAACGCTACAACAATATAGGACATGTGAAGTATAAGTGTTGGGTATTATACCTACACTTACGGTCTATTACTAGCAGGACATCGATAGATCTACCGCTCAGAATGCAACCACTCAAACCCATTATTGCAAATGTGATATTTATCAGCAACCAAGTAACAACAATAGTTCTTCCTCCACACAAGATGTTTCTTCTTAATTATTGGACAGAGGTAACCCTTATGCTTTCATGTCTTTTTGTGACACTTTTTCTTGGATAATAGACTTAGGGGCCTCAGATCATATAACTAGTAATGTCTATCCAACCTAAAAAATAATGGAAATAGGAATGATGTTTCTATTGCTAATAGTTCTTTGATTCATCTATCTCTCTCTCTCTCTCTCTCTCTCTCTCTCTCTCTGTGGCCAGCAGCCTAGCCTTTGCCTCGTTCTTTTCTCTCTCTCTAGCCTGCCCCATTTTCATCTTCCCCTCGATTTCTCTCTCCTTCTCTTTTCTCTCTTTTCTTTCACTTTCACTCTCCCTCTCGTCCCTTTCGTTCTTCTCTTGCTCTTCCTCTCTCCTCTCTTTTTCTCTCTCCTCATTGTCTTTTCCTCTCCTCCCCTTTTCTCCTCATTCTCTCATCTCTCTTTCTTGCACTCTCTCTCCCCCTTACTCTTTATCTCTCATCCCCCTCAATCTCTCTTCCATCTCCCTTATTCTAACTTTCTCTCCTCATTCTCTATCTCTTTCATCTCATTCAAATCACTTCTACGAGGCTCTTCTAAGAAGCCTCCTAGTCAGGCGTGTCCCACTAATATTGTTTCTTGTGAATTCCCTAAGATATTTAGGCTTCAAGCTTAATTCCTTTCCAGTGTTTTTGGCAAATACCTCATTGGGGAAGTGACACCATAAGTATGCTCAATTTTCTTGCCTTCTCCCTGTACTTCTTTTATTCTCTTCTCGTCTCACTAGTTAGGAGGGGTTGCGCTCTTTGTTAAACCATCTTCGTGAGGACTACCACCTTTGACTCACCCCAGAAGGCATTTGCTTTCTCTCTCTCCTCTTATTCTTTCTTCTCTCTGCTTCCATCTCTAAGTAACTCTTTAGGAGGCTCTTTCGAGATGCATCCTAGTCGGGCTTGACCCACTAGTATAGGGTCTCATGAATCCCCCGAAGTATCTAGGCGTCGTGCCTAAGACCTTTTTCTTGCCTTCGGTAATACATCCTAAAGAAGGTGACACATGAAGGCCTTCTAATATTTTGGGTGCTTTCTCTCTCTCTTCCATCCTTTCTTCTCTTTCTATACCTCATCTCCTCGTTTCTCCATCTTTATTTCTTAACTCATAACCCCAAAAAAACCCCTCCAGTCTTAGCACTGAAAGGAGAGCCAAGGGATGAAATTTGAAAGTCATTTATCAAGTAGGTATATGAAGGTGTGCAAAGTCTCAATGGAGCCGAAATCAGACCGAGCCAAAAAGGCCGGGGGGCTTTTGAAATGATCTAAGAGGGCTCAGTTCCTAAACGTGTCCCAACCCCAACCAAGTGATTTTATTTCTTTTGTTGGTTTGATCCGCAACTACCGTACTGCCCGACCCTTATCTTAGTGGGCAATAGGGTCCCCCTCATGCGTACACGCGCGTGAACCCAAAAAGGGGGCCATGCTACACACATCTTTTCTTTTTTTTCTTCTCCTTCTCTCTAAAACCTGAAAAGACATCGTGGGTTCTTAAGAAAGGGTTTTCCCTCCGCGAGCACGAAAATTCAGTGCTGACCAGTCTCATGCTACTTCGGTATATTTATTGAAAAAAACAAAAGTTTTCCGTGTCTTCAAAGAATTTTACAAATTGATTTCTGCTTAATATAATGACAAGATTAGAATTATACAAACTAATAATGGCATATAGTATGTGGACAAAGCTTTTTTTGAGCATTTATGTAAGGGAAAAGTTTATATATAGCAGAGGATCTAAACAATCAAATTTGTGCCTACCTAAAAAATATCACTAGAAGATATTGTTTTGATGTCCAAATATATTCAAATTGATCATCTCAACATCAAGATGCATGGACATGAAAAAAAAAAGGGATTTCAAGTTTTGAAAATAGTGCATTTTGTAATGCATTTTTTGACTATCAATTTTCAAAATTTTTAAGTTTTCATAGATTGGTCGATCTACACTGTTCTTTAAGCTTTAAACTTTATAAACAAAGACGAAAATATAGTTTAAGGTTATCACAAATATTTTCAGTTTTGAAACCACATTTCTTGATACTATTTGAAGGTAGGCTCTAATTTGATTGTTTAGAGCCTAGGATCCATACAAACCGCACCCTTTATGTAATCTTAGTATTATAAACCAAACATTGTGTGTTGGTACACATCAGCATAATAGTGTTGCTGAAAGAAAAAATAGGCACATTTTGAAAGCTACAAGGTCTTTGATGTTCAGATGCATGTTTCAAAAATTTATTAGTCTAAAGTTCTTCTAATTGCTTGCTATCTGATTAACCGACTTCCAAGTAAAATTCTTAAAGATAAATCTCCCTATGCAGTTTTGAAAAATAAAAAAATTGATTTGTCTTAATTGCATGTGTTTGGATGTGTATCGTATATTCATATGGCTGGGAAAAACATGGATAAACTTGATAAACATTTCAATCAATGTAAGTGTTACGATCCCACAACCAAAAAAAAAAATACAATATTGGTTTATCCTTCGTGGAGGTAAGCATCATTGTTGAACCCCGTATATGTTGTTTGGATCTATTTCTCTTCTTTTCTTGATTTCTGTTATTGCAACATCTATAAAACAGTTATTGGGTCATATGTATGACACCAGAAATATTAAAGGTAAAATATCTATAAAATTCATTTTGGGGATATCATAATTTACCTTTTCTTTAAGCCGTGTTATTGCTTTTCCAATTTGGCAACGACTCAATTGTTCACCCCGGTAGATGAGGGGGTCCCCCCATAAATAAACAGGTCATGTCAGCCCGCTTGCGGCTAATGGATTTAATAGCCGCTTAAGCAGATGGGCTGCATCATGGAAACAAACAAACACAGTGCTCGAGTAAGGGTCTTATTCGACCAAGATCTCTCTCTCTCTATGCTAATCGTACGACCAAAATGAAACGGATTCATTCAAGGCACCTATCCACTCTCTCTTGTAGTTGCTAGCGAACCACCCCCCTCTTTAACTCATCCCTCCGCAAACAACTTATGCACATTGCCCCTCTCCAGCATATGTTCTCTCTGTTAACACACTTGGATTTCCTGCAAAGGAGTGTGATACCCATTTTAGTAGTGCATATACTATGCTTCCAAGGGAATATACTTTGAACTCACTCCCTCGGATGGAATAACTTTGCAAGATTTTTTTTATTTGAAATTTTGATAACCACCTAAACAAATCATTAGATGATTATATTCAAAAGAAAAAAAAAATTGAATTTCAAGTTTTCTATAATCGTATCTCAATTTTCAAAAATTAGATTTTTATTTTCAATAATGAAGCTTTTTTTTTTAAGAGCATAGAAAATGCAATTCAGTAAAAATAATTTATTGAGTATCGCACGTAGAGGTTATGTTCTCAAATTTAGGGTGCTAAAAATACTTGTAGATTAGGTATAGTAGTACATAGTCTCTCGACACAACCCCCGGCCTCTCCCAGGGGGAAGGGCAGGGGGTGGGTGTCCTCTCCTTAACTCACCGCCATCTCCCCACCAACTATCACCATTCACTACCTATAAATTAACCCATCTCCCCCGTTCCATCTCAACAGTCAAAATCCATCCCACTCCCTTTTTCCCAAGCACCTTCTAGCCCAACCCTCACTCTCAATCAAACACTCTAGTGCAACAACATGTCTCAACAACGGTGCTCTGTCTTTGCCATGTTTCTCGCTGTCTCTCTCATGATAGCAACGACACTGGCCACTCGAGACCTTCTGGCATCTCCCATTAAGGATGCCGACAAGAAAGAGCCAGAGTGGTTCATCGACAAAGACGGAAGTAAGCTCATTCCTGGTATCGGTCGAGTCATGGTGCCATCCTTTGGTGGCTTTCCAAGTGGTATTCCAGGGTTTCTCGGAGGTGGAAACGGAATTGTGGGAGGTAGCTCACCTGGGGGTTATACCCCTGGTGGTGATGATACCTCTGTGCCTAACCCTGGCTATGAAGTCCCAGCAGGTGGGAACCCTAGCAGTGGAGATGGGGGTTCTCCTTGATTATGTTTGTTTAAGCTTAGGATTTGCTTTCCACTATAAGTGTTGGTGGCAATATGAATAAGTTATGGCAATATGGTGCTAGTGTCAATATGAATAAGTTAGCGCCTAATATATATGGTGCATTTGTTAGTGTCTTGAGATGTATTTTGTCAGTGGTTTTTAGTAAGAAGTTGTTTTAAGGTGTTGTTATTGGTAGCAATGTGTTTTAAGGTGTTGCTTGAAAGGAGTCTTTTGTGTTGGAGTTGAACCAAACCTTGTCTTTTGATTTTTTGGCCTATTTGTATGGTTTTCATTTCTCTTAATAATGCATTGCTTGGAAATGTACCTCAAACCTTGTGCATGTAAACCATACTTTCTAAGAGAGAGAGAGAGAGAGAGCAAAGGACTTAGGTTCTCTGAAAATTGACAAATCTCCTGCCCCATGAGAAAGAGTAATCATTTAATCATTTTACCTCTTTTAATTCATAACTGTTAACTTGATTATTTACCTTTATGCGAGTTTAGCCATGATTTTCACTGTGAGCAAGTTGGATGCCCGCCTCTTAATAAATGCAGGCAGGATAACATAAAATTTCAACGTATTTTCGGTAAAACAAGCGAGACAGTTTATATAAGGTTGCAACTTTAAAATGTAGAATTAAAGATACATCTCATAAATCCATCGGAAAAAGTCGTTTTAATGTGGAAAAACCCGTCTAATTGATCAACTTGACATTGAGATATATGAATATGAAGTATATATATATATATATATATATATATATATACGAGAGAAATGATCCTATAGGACTCTCCCCCACCCCATGTGTGTGGGACTCCAAAGGATCACCATTAAATTTGGCACGGATCTATAGAAAAGTCAAGTCCCACATCTATGTGATAAGTTTTATAGAGATCCGTGCCAACTTTAATGGTGATCCTTTGAAGTCCCACACATATGGGTGGGGGAGGGTCTTATAGAATCATTACATTATCTAGACCGTCCATTTCAAGAATTTCATATGTTTATAGATTAATTGATTTTAACTATTTTTGGAGTTTAAAATTTTATAACTAGATACAAAGATAATCCTAATAATTTTTTACACAAAAATTATGCATTATGATAAAATTTGGAAGTGCGTCTTAATTGGATTGTTTAAAGTTACAACCTTATAGAAACTACACCATTAAAATAATCATTAACGGATACAAAGAACCTCCTAAAGTACATGTTTAAATAAGGGAACGGTTTAGTGAGTCACAAAATATGATGGATGTCATAAAATAGAGGATCAACAAAAACTTACAATCGATGGTTGAAAAAAAAAAATTGATATATTTTTTGAAAAAAATGAATTCTAGATCCTTATGCATCATCATGGTTGAGACTAGCAAATCCTAAAATTTTGGATAAAAATTCCATCTTCGAGATGATTTTAGAGGGAAACCACATAAGAAGAAGTGACGCCGCCAACTCACCAAAAACTCCTGTATGACCTGAAAATTGGTTGTTGTTGCGCCAAAAACTCCTCTATGACCTGAAAATTCTAGATTAATCATGTAGTCGTTGTGCCAAAAACTCCTACATGACCTGAAATTTTGTTTTCACGTCTAATTATGAAATTTAAAGATCTAAAAATGGCCGTAAACTGATGATATATCGTATGATGTGCTACTTTTAACACTTCGAATCCTTATTTTTTTCTCAATCCGTACATCTCAAGGTGGAAATGATCAATTTTGGGGATGTGGAAATGATCATTTTTAAGGGGTTTTCCAGCATTGAAGAGACCTTTTCTAGTGGGTTTATTTGTGCCTTATTTTTTTGCCCAATCAAACTTCGGAACTTCACAAAAGACTTCCTATTTTATTTTTGAATTTTATAAAGAGATATCTATTTTTTATATTTTCCCTCTTTTTAAGGGTGAAGAGTGTAATTTAATTTTATTTGAAATCTACGTATTGAATTATGCTTATAAAGAGCATGCATACTGCTCTCCATCATCCACCTGAAAGAATATATAAAAGAAGTGAAATAACAATATTATCAAAATGCATCTACAACTTCGAGGATATTTTTGTCAAATTAATTTTTTATGTTTCTTTACAAATGCATGATGTTGAGAAGTATGCAGTTCCTACATTCATATGCGTGTTAATTTCACCTTGGATACTTGGAATTATTTTGGTAACCTAATGACCTCCTGTTACCTAGGTTGGTGAATAAAGCCTCAATGGATGAAATGATCCACATTTATAATGGCTGAAAAACTAAAACCTTCAATTGATGGCGACGACAAGATGGTGAAAAAATATAGGAAGTCATCTCATGTTTTGCTCGAAATTGAAAATAAGTCTACAATTTTTATTTTTCATTTTTTACCTACCCAAAAATATAGAAGTCCATTTTTTTTAACTCACTGGCTGAGATGTGAGTGGAATATTTTTCGTTTATTTCTCTTTTCGGACTCTCATGTTTAAATGTACTCAAGTTTAAGGATGACTAAAAATTTTTTTCTTGAAACCCGCTAAGAGAAAAAAGATGCAATTTAGTAAGGTGACAGTATTTATATTGTCTATTTTAAATTGTACGATGTAGATTCGATGTGTCTTTTACAACAATGTCAACTAGTGATATGTATTTTAAAACACGGGCATATTTGCACCACCCAAAATAAACTAGTCAATGTAAGATTACGTCAACATTATTTCTACCGGTAAGGTTGCAACCTTATCTAGACTTTTTCCAAAAGAAAATAACAAAAAAGCCACAACGAACGTGAACAAAATCTAAATTAAACAAAACCATAAGAGAAAAACAAAAACAGAGCAAGATATTATCTTTGGCATAACTCAAATCCATTACACTAACAACAAATTACAACCAGCACCACATACTCATAACCTTCGACGTACTCCAAACTAAGAACTGCATAGAAACACACAAAACCCAACAAATGCGCAAGCTTAATGCAACTATTGGCACCAATATACTTATTCCGACCCATGAACAAGGCTTCAACAAACATTGTTCTAAAGAAACACTTAAGCCGGCATAATCAAGGAGAGCCCCCATCCCCAGTGCTAGGGATCCCACCAGCAGGGGCTTCATAGCCAGGGTTAGGCCCAAAGGTATCATCACCCCCAGGGATATAACCCCCAGGTGAGCTACCTCCCACAATTCCGTCTCCACCCCCGAGAAACCCCGGAATACCGCTTGGAACGCCACCAAAGGATGGCACCATGACTCGACCAATACCAGGAATGAGCTTACTTCCGGTACTGTCGGTGAGACACTCTATCTCTTTTTTGTTGGCACCATTAACGAGAGACGACGGAAGATCTCGAGTTGCCATTGTTGTTGCCATCAAGAAAGCGAAAGTGAGGAACTGGGCAAAGATAGAGCAACTTTGGTGAGCCATGTTGTTGCACTAGAGAGTGTTTGAGAGTGAGGGGTTGTGCTAGAATGTGATTGAGAGAAAGGGAGTGGGAAGGATTTTGATGTGGAGATGAAGGGGGGAAATTGGGGCTTTTTATAGGTGGTGATTTAGTTGGGAAGGAGGCGGTGATTTAAGAGGGGCTTCAAGCATTGTGGAAAGAGAGTAATGTGCATGTGCTTGCAACTAGTGTCTCCTGTGAATGAAAGAAGTGGTTGGGTAAGGTTCATGTGTGCATTGCTATTAGATTGCGCAGGACAAGAAGGAGGCCTTGAATTACAGTCATATTTGCTTGCTTGCTTGCTTGCTTGAGGGAGGCTTTTACTGATGAGAGAGAGAGAGAGATTGAATCTAGGGGCACTGAATTGGAATTATAGTTATTAGGTTAGGATATTTGGGAAGGTTAACAACCCTTAAAAATGGCAAAAAGTGCATCTACATATCTTGTATTTAAGCAAAATCATTTGATCATTAGGTGGGGCATTTTTTTTAAGAATTGTATACTATGAGTCAGTTTACCATTGTTACAAGGAGTAAAGAATCACTCTTAGTTATTAGATGCCAAATTATTTTATAATTTTGGTCAATTTATATTTTACGAATTATGTTTTTCATATTTTTATTAGGTGCGCATCGCAAGGATGTATACACGTTCCAAATTTCAGATCATTTCGATTAGTAAAACAAAAATGAACATTGAAATACTACTGGACAAATGTGATCATGCGATGAAATTTGGATGGTGGTGAGGATAGGCAAAATCATTGTTCATTTTCACCTACGGGCGTTTTTGTAGTATTTTTCTATATATATATATATATATATATATATA